TTTTTTATTTTTATTTTTTTTATTTTATTGAGAAAAATATTTATTTATTTATTATGTATACAATATTCTGTCTGTGTCTATGCCTGCAGGCCAGAAGAGGGCACCAGACCCCATTACAGATGGCTGTGAGCCACCATGTGGTTGCTGGGAATTGAACTCAGGACCTTTGGTAGAGCAGGCAATGCTCTTAACCTCTGAGCCATCTCTCCAGCCAGAATTTAAATTTTTAACAATAATTTTAAGTGATTTTTGAATATTCATTTTCAATTGTCCCATTGTAATTGTACGTATGAAACACAGTATGATATTTCATGATAAATTAAAATTTTATCATTTACTTTAGAATGTTCAAAATAGGGCCAGAGAGATGGCTCAGCAGTTAAGGGCACTGGCTGTTCTTCCAGTGGTACCGGGTTCAATTCCCATCACCCACAGGCACCTCACAAACTGTCTGTAACTCCAGCACCAGGGATCCAACACCCTCACACAGACATACATGCAGGAAAAAGACAATTTTACATAAAATTAAAATAAATCATTAACAAAGATTGTTCAAATGTCAGTTCTCAGTATCACTATCAATCTGAAATATTCAATTAATTACTCTTAAATATTGAATTAGCTAGCATTTCTTTTTTTGGTTTTTTGAAACAGGTTTTCTTGTGTAACAGCCATAGCTATCCTAAAACTTGCCCTGTAGACCAGGCTGGCTTTGAACTCACAGAGATCCATCTGCCCCTCTGCTTCCTGATTGCTGGGATTAAAGGCTTGGCCACCACCACCCGGCCCTAGTCGGCACTTCTAATGTGTGATAAATGGAATCCTGAAATGATGGTGCAGACCCATAACCAGGACATTGCAGATGAGGCAGGAAGATTGTGAGTCTGCGGTCAGCTTGGGCGACACAGCAAGACTTTTTGAGGGACAGGGAAGAGAGAGGGAGGAGGGAGAGAGAGAGGTAGCGAGAAAAGGAGAATGAAGAAGGGAGGAGGCACACGGGGCAGTTCCGGCAGTAAAGGCGTTCATTAATGGCCGGCAGCAGAACACGTGAACTTCCCGTTAAAGGAGACCAACATCGTAAGGGCTGCAAATCTTCTCAGGTCACTTGAGGTCAGTTCCTGCCCACGCAATGTGGAGGTTATGGTATTAAAGAGAAGGGAGTGAGGACGAGCTGTGTTGTAACATACCTGGAGGGTGTGCCTCTCAAGGTTGAAAATGACATTTCAAGGACACACTACTGAGATCAAGTGTCAGAAAGACTCCTGCTGTGATGGACAGCTAAGATCGGCAGCACACGGGGGTCTCTGGTTGGTGGGACTCTCCACGCTGACCCTGGTTTCCTCGTGTGTCAGGGTCTGGCACCCCAGCACCTGCCCAGGCTTTCCAGGCCGCCCCATTTAGAAGGGAATACTTACCCTGCAGACTCCATGTGTTCTGTATCCTTCCTCATGGACCCTAGAGCCTCCTGCATGCTCTAAGCGCCCCACATCTAAGCTTTCCTCCCTTCCTAATTCTATTGCATGATTTCTCTGTTATTAACGTCTATTTATTTTCCAAAGTGGAGAGTATTGAAATGCCATTTCATTCAAGTTTATCATGTATGTTGGCTGTGTTCACTCTGTACCTTCTCCTGTTACTAGTTATTACTTTTTTAGTTAGTAGTTATTACTTTGGAGAATAGTTCCCCTAAATGATTATACTGTGTGTGTGTGTGTTTTAGGTTCCACATTTGAAAGAAACAGTCAACATTTGTCTTTAAATCTGACTTATTTTGGTCAACAGATTGCCCCACAGTTCCACCCATTTTCCTGCAGAGGGCACACTTTCATTCATCTTTATGTCTGAATAAAATTCTACCATTGTGTGCACCATATTGTCTCTATGCATCTGTTGATGTGCAGGATTGCTTTTTCCGTGTCTCAGTTATTGTGAAGCACACTGTGATGGCCATGAAGGCTCCGGCTCCTCTCTAACACGCATGGAGACTCTTTGCTGAGTTTATCCTTGGTTGGGATAACTTGGTCACA